AGTGCCCGGCGGCGTGGCTCAGTGGATTGAGTGTTGGCCTGTGGACGGAAGGGTCCCGCACATGCCCAGGTTGCGGGCTCAATCCCCGTTGTGGGGCGTGCGGGAGGCAGCCGATCCACGATTCTCTCTCATCGTTGATGTTTCTCTCGCTTCTCTCCCTTCTTCTCTGAAATCAATTTTTTAAAAAGTCCCCTTAGTTTCTGTAAGTACCTTTATACTAAACACAATTTTCATTCAAGTCTGAGACATGCATTTCAACACCCACAGTGTGTTTCTGGGAGCTTTGGTTCTAGGTTATGAATGAAACCTGCATTCCAGCAGAGACCCGGACGCGTCCTAGGACAAGCAGACCCTGTGCCTGAGAGCCTTGAGCCTCTGCTGGCCATCTTCCTACGCGCGACCGGGACCATTTTTAAACGTTGTAAAGGGAAAACATGAGAAGGAACGTCGTACCTTCCCGGTGGCCGTGGAGCCGGTGAAGGAGATCTTGGACACGAGCGGGTCGGTGCAAAGCGCCTCCCCCACCTCCTGGGCCCTCCTCCGGGAGCAGGGCACCACGTTGTAGGCCCCGGGGGGGATCCCAGCCTGGTTGGCGAGCTGTGGAGGGACCAGCAGGCACGGGCAGCGAGTGAGAAAACAGAAAAGACAAGTAAACCGACGTTTTCCTCTAAAAAGAAACGGGGGGAGACTCAGCTGCCTTTGGGGACAGGATCAGAATGTATTTGGGAGTGAAACGGGCGCCTCATCGGTGCCGCTGTGATATGCGTGTTGTCACTCCTTTAAAATGAGTCGCCGGGACAGGCCTGGCGGGAGCAGCAGGAGAGCTGAGGGACGGGTGGCTACAGCCCCGCAGTCGGGCGCTGCTTTAGAATATGGGGGGACCCTCCAGCCAAGAGGCATCGGGAGGAGTGGTGGGGGCAGATGGGTCAGGGGCTCTGGAGTGACAGGCAGGGGGAGGGGAGCGAGGCTGGGCAGGTGGCATCTGTCAGGGCCTGAGGGCACTGCCGGAAGCTTGGGCTTTACTCTGAGCGACAGGAGCCGGGGGGCTTCACGCACAGAATGACCAGACCTGCCGCGGACGGACCTGGAGAAGGGAGGGGGCGGGAGCAAACGCCCAGGTGTCGCCATCTGACCAGGTCTGCCCCTTTGATAAAAACGATGCAGATGGCATTTTTAGGGCAGCCCACAGACGTCAGAAAACCCTCACCGTTGTTTTGTCTAAAAAGGGCAACATCTGACTTAAGAGAATGGCGGACACGTTGGAGCAACGCCATCCAGCGAGGGGCAGGGCCAAGCGGAGGCTCCCGCCTGC